CGAACCACTGTCCCCATGGCAGGAAAAGACAGACCATTCAGGGAGACAACCATGATGACCAGACATGTGATGCTGTTGAGAACAGGAGCCACCAAGCTGCAAGTGCTCCAGGGCTACAGTCCAGTGCCCAGTACCAGGAGGCAGAGGGCTGGACAAGGGTGAGGAGAAGGTGACTCTGATGGACAGGAGGAAGTGGGCAGGCAGCGAGATCCCTGCCTTAGCCGCAGGCCCAGGTCCCTGGACAGCTCTTCGTCACCACATTATCACATGCACAAGCACCGTGGCGCTTCCAAAGAGTCCTGGAGGGAAGCCCTGCAGGCTGCAGGGGAAAAGACATCAGGAGACTGTGAGCTGCACCTGCATGCAGAGGGCCGGGTCCCCTGGGAGTGGGTGTCAGGGTGTACCCTGAAAATGTCATCCTGCCCTCAGGGCTGTGGCAGCTTCAAACCACCACTGACCGCAGGGCCTGGCTGGCTGCGACTCTCTACAAGGGGAAGGCTGGGAGCTCCTTTCCAGGTCAGCACTGCCCAGTGTGTACACCATACCGACTGCCTGTTTTTACAGGATTTTATAAACAAAATTAAGACTTCAGTTCCTGTGTCACACTAGTGCTCTGACAGCACAGGTAGGAACCTGCCCACCTGATCAGACATTCTGAGGGATACAGTCAGCTGGTCCAGTTCTGGGGCCTGTAGGAGCCCTGGCAGGACCCCAAGCAGGTACATAGAGGAAAGGATGCTGAGGGCCCTGAGCTCCTCCAGAATGGGCTAGTGGGTGCCAGGCTCCTGGTCCCATCTGCACACAGAGGACAGGCTGGTGTGGGAACGACCAGGCTGCCCCCCTGCCCTGCACCCTTAGCAGCATGCAGCCCTCTGCCTCTGCACCTGACAGTGTTGGGCCAAACCAGCTGGACCACCATGGCCAGGCAAGGGCAGCATGCAGAGCCTGCGGGCCACACATCAGCTCATCAGCACTCCCCCAGACAAGAGCAGGGTGCTTGCTGTGCAAAGGGAGCTACTTCTACTTGGATGTGGCCAGGGGCTCCTGTCCCTGCTGGGGCATCACGGAGCTCTAGACCTATGACCTATCCACTTCCTTGTGTCTACGGGTGACTCTGCCCAGATCTATGCCGCATGCCCAGAGTCAGTTTCCTGGGTAGAGGTCCTGGCTGCACAGCCCCTGCGTCCCCCGGGCTGGTAACCACGTGTGGCCTCATGGTCAGGGGATTGTTGGGCAAGGGGCTTTGTTTGATTCGTGTCTGTGTCCCCTACCTGAATATAATAAACATCCAGGGAATAAATGGGCTGAGAAAATGAAATGGAAAATACCAAATACAGACAGGGGAAATAACAGCCATGTATTTTTCAGCAAAAACAAGTTTCTGTTGAAGGAAGGGGAAACACAGGGACCCCATGTGTGGCATTTCCATGGTCCTCGGGCCCACCAGTGCTATCTGACTGCTCTTTTTGGGCCACCAAACTGGAGACCAAATTGGGAAGCATCATCTGTCTTACCTGAAGGCCTCCCGTTTTAGCCTGGAAGCCTAAGAAGTCATAAATAGACTTCTCGATGACAACGTAAGCTTAATTTTTCATTTACCTGCAGCTAATAACAGATGGGCAGGCCTCCCTGGCTTCCAGAAGCTGAAAGGAAGAGAAAGGGCTTCCCAGTGACAGGATAATTTGTCAGAAAGTTATGAGTGCATCCAGCAGAGCTGTATAGGAAGTGTATATTGAACAATATGACACGCCGGCTCCTAATTGCTGCTGCCTTTCTGATCAATAATACATGTTTTCAAAAAGCCTTCTGTTTGCATTTACACAATGGACTGTAACTACTGCAAAGCATCCATTAAGACCTATTTTTAAAAGTGCATTCGTAAAAAGTTGTCTAAATCTGCATTACAAGGCAGATTATGAAGCTGCCTTGGGACATGTTTTTTTTTTTTTCCTGAGACTCGATTCAGGCCACATCAGCCGACCCAGCCTGCAGCTAAGCTCCTGGCTCCAGGCTGGCACAGAGGCACTGGCAGAGCCGGGCCTCTGCTGTGACCCACAGGCCCAGCGACACAGTAGGCATAGAGCCCAGGACGTTGCTACACCATGCATGTAATTTCAAGGTCACTGGGAGGTCTACTGCTGCTCAGACAGCTCTGGGGTTCTGGGGCTCTCCACCCCAGAAGGACTCAAGCCTGGGCCAAGTGGAGGGCGGATGACAGCTATTTATTGTGGCAGCTGGGCTTGTGTTTCCCACACAGGTGTGGTTGTTACCTGGGCAGGTGGGAAGCCCAGAGAAGTGGAAAATGGGTGGTTTAGGATTAAGGCCACCTGGCTTTCTGCGTTGCCCTAGCAACATCAACTGGCTTTAGCCCTCACGGCTGCCAAGTGAATGGTACTCACAAGGGTGGCCCTGCCTGGGGCTCCTTGTGGACTGGCCAGCTTGACCTCAGGCAACCCAGGAGGAGGGACATGCCTTGTCACAGAGGCCCCAAGCGGGTAACTTCTGGCTCACCACCTCACACCATACCTCTCCCTGGCCACCCCCAGAGAGTTTAGGTGGAGAATCTAGAAAAGCAGTCTGCTAAGGCCACCTTGCTGGAGCAGATTCCTCCCAGAGAAGGGGGCAGGATGATACGGAAGTTCAGAGGTGAAACCCAGCTCAGGAGGGACACACGGAGAGCAACAGGGCAGAGAGAGCATGAAGAGCACGTGGAGGCTCTGCCTGCAGCCCCAGGTTCCACGGCAACAGCACTAGTTGGCCGCTTTGACCGGAGATCTAGGGCTTGATCCAGGCGCCGTACCATGTCAATCAGCTCTCACAGAGGAAGAATGGCTTGTGTGGGCTTAAGATTGCAGAAAGTTCTAGTGAGGGGGACCCATCATGGTGGAAGGGCATCAAGAAACAAAGCTGCTTCCCCCAGAGCAGCCTGGACGCAGAGAAAGGAAGGGCTGGGGACCAGATGGGGTTCCCAAGGTCACTCTCTTGACTGAGCCCTCCCTCCCAGGAATGCCACCCACCGCAGTCCCCTTAGCAGGATCCCCTGATGTGGTCAGACCCCACCCACTCACATCATCTAGGCACCTTTCAAAGCCCCATCTCTGAGCTCTCCAGCTCTGGGGACACTATGGATCCCAATCCTAACAAGCTTGGCCACCTCAAGGTCCCGATTAGGTGCAAGTGAGGGTCTTGCTGGCCGGCCTCCCAGCTGCCCCTCCTAAGAGCTGGAGGGGCTCATATGCTAATGAAGAGGGCACGCTTGCAAGGTTGTCCTTCAGGCCAACTTGGAGGACGGTATGGCTTTCTCCTTGCAGCTGCCCTGGAAGGAGGTCACCAGCAGGGGCAGGAAACAGCAACCCTTGCCCACTTCAGCACCCCAAAGGAGGGAAACTGAGGCACCAGTTTCAGTAACTCAGCACCTAAGCTTCCCAGCAGTGCCACACCACCTGTGGGAGGGACTTGTGCCTCATCCACACCCCTCTGGGTGGCCTCGGCCACCAGTTTCAGGTCACTGCCCAGCCTCTAGTGCCCCCAGGGCTGGGTTGTGCTCTGGGATCTGTGACTGACCCCTGCGTGGTACCCAGCCAGAGCTGCTGTCCCTGCCCTGGCCATCTTAGCACCTTTGGACACCCACACCAGCCCTGCCTCTCCCCAGTAGCTCCTGTCCACCGCAAGGCTGCATGGGATGTGTGGCCAGGCAGAGCCGGCTGGTATCTTCCTTTCCCATGTTGTGTTTTGGGGCTGGATGTGGGGTCCCATCCAATGACCTTCAAATTCTGCCTCACTCCAGGATGCCCTGAAGTCTGCCCACCCTAGTCTTCAAAGTCACCACAGGAGCACGAGCTTGTCCCCATGCGGCAGATGATTAAACAGAGGCTCAGAGGCAGCAATTTGTGCAGTCGCTTAAATTCTAAGTGACAGAATCCAAGCTCAGCATAAGCAGCTGCGGGAAGTTCCTCTCCACAAACGTGGTTCAGGGCTGGGGCTGGGACGCCTGGTATAGTGCTCCCCTAGTGTGCACCAGACACTGAGTTGCATCCCCAGCACTGCAAAAGCAAGAAGCAGAACAATACAGAGTTGCCCTCCCCAGGCAGAGGTGTGGTGCGCTGCCTTGCTACAAGGCCCTCACCCTCTTGAATGGTTTCCTCTTCCTCCAAGAGATAGAAGCCTGCAGCTGGGGAACCCAAGGCTCAGAGGCTCTCTGCCCCACCGAAGCAGTGAGGAGGGCCTCCAGGTAGCACGGGTGCTTATGGCCCCACATATGCACAGGAGGGTCTGGCCCACTTCTGGTCCAGGTGAGGAAGCTCCTCCTTGCCCCTGAGGTTCTGGTCCTGTTTTGAGGCCCCAGGCCAGCAGGCTCAACTTCCCCTCTGCCAGTGGCTCCCCATGTGTGAGCCGTGTGTGTGTACAAGTGTGTGTACCAGGATTCCCATGGAGCTTCCCAGCCTTCTCTGATGGGAAGAACAAGACCCTGCCATGGTGCAGGGGGACCTGGGGGTGGAAGAGCCTGGCTAGACGTCAGCCTATCCAGGGACAGGTGAGCCCCTGGCGGGGGTGTTCAAACAGAAATGGGACCAGTCCCCTTTCTTCCTGCTCCTCCCAGCGGCAGCCCTAGAGCTGACTGTAATCAGAATCCCAGCCTCCTGCCTGAGCTGGGCTCCCTGGGCGCAGGTTGAGCGATCGGCCAGCAGCCCATGCCTCCAGACCACCGGAGGGACCCCACGACCAATTCCAGCTCCGGTGGGCAGATGGCAAGCAGGCCAGGGCCCAAGATGTTGGCTGTCCTGGCTGGCAGGCCTGTGGCCTGGCCGCCCCCCACAGGCAGCAGAATGGACATCTCGGCTGGCCCCGGCCCAAGCCGGCTCTCCTGGCAGCCCCTCCTCCCCAGTGACTTCACTTTGACTTCATCTCTGCAGAGCGCGCGGCGATGTGTGCAGCGCTTACTCAGCCAGCTCCGGGAGGAGGGCGGGGCGGCAGGGGAGGGGTCGCCTGCACCCCCGGCCTGGGTCTCCCGTAACCCTGCGGTCCAGGCTTCCAAGAAGGATCGGGTGGAAAGCGGGAAGCTGGGATCCTCTCCGCCGGCCTCACCCAAACCTCCCTAGCAGGCCCAAGGCTTCCTATCCGCGCGCTCACCAGCATCATTTCTTTGGGGGAACTTCGGGAGCGCCGCCCTAAGCATCTCCTTAGGCCTCTGCTCTTGCCTTGGAGGGCGGTGTGCCCGTGTGGGATTCACAGTCCAGCCTGGGACCTCGCCCCTCTCCGCGCTCTGGCACTGTGGACCACACCTCTCCGCACCCCTGAGAAACTGCGGGGTAGGTTGGTGGACCTCATCTCTGGGTCCTTTTCGCGCTCAGGAGCAAAGGGTGAGTTGGGACCACAGGCTGAGCGAAAAGCGAGCGGTTAGCTGTGGATCCCGAGTGCGGAGGGGCAGGGGACCCCGCGCCCTGCCGCACACAGGCTCGGTCCCCCGCGCAGCCGGACCCTGAGCCCCGCACACACCCCGTAGCCTGGTACCGCCCCGCAGCCGGGTCCCGCCCCCAGCCCCGCCCCACCCCGCCCGCTCCTGCGGCGCAGCCCGGCGGGCTCAGTCCGGTGGCGCAGCGGTGAGCGCCAGGGTTCAGCGTAGAGCGCAGCACGGGGGGGTCCTGGCCGCGGCTTCCCGCACCCGGACCGCGCACTCCGCACCCCGCCCCGGCGGCATGGGCCGCCCCGCCTGATCGCCGCTCCAGACCCGCGTCCCCGGCCCGCGCACGGCGATGGCGAAGGCGACGTCCGGTGCCGTGGGGCTGCGGCTCCTGCTGCTGCTGCTGCCGCTGCTCGGCCAAGGTGAGTTCTGGGGCGCGGGGCTCGGGACCCGCGGGGGCGCAGGCGGGGCGCACGGACGAGGGGGCGCACGGACGCCGCACTGTGCGTGGTTCTGCGGGACCCGCAACCCCGCTGTCCCTCGGCCCAGGACTCCTCGCTCCTCGCAAGAGGCAGCTTTGCCGCTGAGACTCAGTCCAAAAGCTGTGGTTCCCGGGACACTTGGCCGCGTCCCCGCCGGTACCGTTGGGTGGCCCAGGGCCCTGGACCCGCGCGGGCAGAACGGGATGTGGGCCGTCGTGTACCGCTCGGTCCGTTACGAGGTGTGGTCCAGCCGGGTGCCCGCGGCACCCCCAGCGCTGTCGGGTGACCCCGCCTGGAGCGCCGGCCCCGCCCGAACTGAGCCCGAGTCGGACTGGACGAGCCGAGTTTCCGGAAGGCAGAAGGACCCCCACCCCCGCGCCTCACCACGGGGCTGCGCTCCGAGGGCCCCGAGCTGCCCCCACCCCGCGCCCAGCAGGAAAGGAGCTGGGGGCGCAGCGCAGAGCCGGGGCCGCCGCTCCCCTTGGACGGGAGTGGGGTTCCTGGATTTGGGGTCCCGGTCGCACGATGCCCGAGCTCTCAGGCGGCAGGCGGGGCACGGGGCGGAAGCCAGCCGAACCCCCCACCTGTGGCCGGGGTGACCGAGGCCCTTCGCTGGCGCCCCGCCGCCAGCTTCGGCCTCTGCACTGAGGTGGGGGCCGGGGTTGGCAGAGCGCTGGGAGGAGCGGCGGGTCGCTTTCGGTGGAGACCCCTGACAGCAGACTTGGGGGGCCCTAGACAGCCTCCTGGGCCGAAACGTGGACCCCTTCCCTTGGGAGAACCAAAGAACCACAATGGGAGGCGCAGGGCTTGGAGTGGGGGCCTCGCCACACTCAGGAGGGGATGGCAGGGCCGCGAGGGGCCGTGGGAGCCTGGCTGTCTCGGAGCGGAGCCTCAGCGTGGCTCTCGGGGTGCGAGGACCCAGCGCCTGGGACTCCTGCGCCCTCTAGCGGACGCTGTGCTCCGGCGGCCTCTGTGGCCCCAGGGTAGGCTGGGTCTCGCTCAGCTCGGGCTCACCCACCCCTGCCACTCTGAGACCGGCGCCTTACCTTCCTGGGGAGAACGTCCTCGTGAGCCACGGACGCACTGCCCACCCCAACCCCACCCAAGGGCCAGGCCCTTCTGCCCACACCAACCCCACACCCTGGGACCCCTGCTCTCTGTTTATATTCTTGGGCACTGCCCCAGCAAAGGACTTTGTCCTGAGAGTGCCATGTCCCCTGTGCCTTGGGTCTAGGCTCAGCTCTCTAGGTGGTCCCTCCAGAGTGGGCCAGGGATTAGAAGCTGGGCACACACGCACACACACCCTCACACACATGGGATCCGGCCTGCACTTCCCTGGCCCCTGGGCAGGGCTCACACGCAGAGCGCTTCGGGGCTCTATTGCTAAATTGCCTTTATTCTGCAGAATCGCTTTAGGGATGGGCTAAGTAATCACTGTTTCCTCGATAGTGGAAAACGGGATGCTTTCACCTAATGCGGTACTAATGGCCTCATAGTCGAGGCAGAGGAAAAGTAATTTAAAAATACAATGTATGTTGGGAACGGAGCAGGAGTGCTGAGAGGTGCAACTCAGAAACTGTGCCTACCCGGGAGCTTTCTCCCTCCACAGCGGGACAGAGAACCCCATCTCCTGTGTTAGGGTGGTGAATACAGCCGTGGTCACCCACAGGCTCATAGCAAGCAGTTCTGGGCCCCTTGATCTCCCGGGCAGCTCCAGGAGAGGGCCTTGGTCTCATTTTTGCAATACACAGACAGGAGACTGAGGGCACCCTGAGCTGTGGGCTGTTGGGCCAGGGAGAGACATGGCTCGAGGCCTGACCACCTGTGGGCCTGGACCTGCCCAGGTCTGGAGCAACACCTGGCTCTGGGCCACCGCCCAGGTGGGAGCCCCTGGGTCTCTGAGGATGGCTCTCTAGTGGGCGCTGGGTCAGGCATGTGTGTGTGGAGTGTGGCAGGAGGGCGTCCCCATGCTGGCCTAGGGTGGGCCCACATATTCCTGGACACCTGATGTGGCCTTTTGTTGGCTATTGCCTGGCACCCAGCATCTGATTGTGGGACCCCAGGTAGGGGAGAAGCAGACAGGCAGCGACTTCCATTCCACCGCCTGCAGCCCTGTTGGGAACGAGGGCTCCCACCTGCGTGGGTCCGTGCCCAGGCTCCTGTGCGTCCTGCTGTGCCCTGCACCTCACCTCCTTCCTTGTTTCCCAGTCGTTTGTCTGTGGGAAGGGCCACACCTGCCCCACACACCCAGGAGGGGAGTGCTCACACCAGCAGGTGACCCTCACCTCTGTGGGACTCGTGTTTGATTCGGACTGGCTGCATATCCCAGGCCACAGGTGGGGTGTGGGTGGGAGTGGGTGCTGGCTGCCAGGAAGGGGTCACTTGGCGGGTGAGGACGGTCTGCTGCACTGCCAGGCCCTGTGGGAGTGCTTGGACCCCAGAGTGTAAAGTCTTGGACACTGAGCTCTTAGGGCAGGTAAAGAGGAGCCAGGCCAGGTGTTGAGACTAGGGTCTTCTCCCCCTCCCTCCTTGACCCCCACATGCAGGCCTCCCAAATTCCCACTGCCACCTGCAGTGCCAGGGCCTCTGAGGCTGAACTGACCACAGGGGCCCTGGGTGAGCTGGGCAGGAGGACAAGAGTGCCTTTATCCCAGGAGCCCCTCCTGGCCAGAGCTGGTGCCTTCCTGGCTGGTGTAGCAGGTGACACTGGGTGGCACTTGGGGCCCTCATACCACCCCAGCCCCTGAGAAGGGCAGGTGACCAGCTCTGAGCCAACACTGTGTGTGCTCTTGCTGTGTGGGTGGCCCTGCAGGAGAGCAGCCCAGGTACTGCAGACAAGTCACTGTGCCCCTGGATGGGTGTGTGCCACACTGGGCAATGCTGGAGTGGGATGAAGGGGCTGATGTTCGATTTGCAGTGCTTGGGCTCCAACAATGTGTCTGAGGGGCAGTGTGGCCCCAGAGCAGGAGGTAGAGGAGGCTGGACAGCGTCTAGCCTCCGCCTCAGGAGGCTGACACAGGAGGATCCCAGGTTTGAGGACAGCCCAGGCAAAGTAATGAGACCTTGTCTCAATGTGAAAGTGAAATGGGGCTTGGATGTCACTCCCTGGTAGAACACCTGCCTGGTGGGGTCCAAGACCCTGTGCTCCAACCCGTTTCTGTTAAAGAAGAAACAAGCACCCCTTAAATGCCTCTGGATCTCCAGAACACCCTGAGTTCCAAAGAACCAAAGAAAAAAGCGAGATTTCTTAAACCTAGTCAAGACTGGGAAGGAGCCAGAGCAGAGGTGCAGTTGGGTCCTAGCACCTGAGGGTGGGCTGAGTGGCGCACACAAGGTGGGCGTGGGGGCACAAGACACAGTGGGCATGCCTGGCAGAGGAGATGGCACAGGATGTGTCAGTGTGCAGGGTATCTGACCACTCTCGGCATCCTGAGATGCCTCTTGTCACCTCTGAGTTCTGATCAACACAAAAGCTAGGCGAGGAGACTTACCTATAGTTCACTACAGGTGTTTGAGGTGAAAGTCACGTGGTGGCTCCAGCTCATCCTCCTCCCCTGGCTTTGCTGCTCCAGAATCTCATCCACTTCACCATGGTCTGCTTGCCAGGGTTTGGTATTTCTTTGTAGCCAGGCCTGGGTACAGCTCCTTTTCAAGAGTGAGTAATATTCCTGTCTGTATGGGTTGGTCTTGAAGGACATGTTTTCACCAGTTGGCCATAAACAATGTTGCTGTGATGCTTGGGAACAAGGCTCTCTTTCCCACTGTTTTCAAGTCTCCATGGTATATAAAATTGCTAGCTCTTTCCTGTGTTGTTTTAGAGGAATAGACATAAAGGTTACAATGTATCCGCGTCCTCAGCAATGCTTGTTATTTAAATACTTGTTATTTAAATACTTGTTATTGAGGTCTTGCTGAATACAAGGCCTCCTTGAGGTGGGTGGGTGTTCACCATTCTGTATCTTTGGGGTTCAATGGCCAGGTGTGTCTAGGGAGGTGTGTCAGGTCCGCTGCCACTGTCTGGGAGCTGACAGTCCTGTCTGGGGTGAGTCCCAAGTCCATCGAGTGCTGCCGAGAAGCTGCCCCTCTGATAGCTTTGCAGCCAGTGCCCTGGTCTCTGGGTCCTTCTAGAAGGACAGGGCTCCCCAATATCCTTGTGTGGGCGCTGCATCAGCAATGTCCCAAGGTCTGAGGAGGAAACAGTGCTGGGAACCAGCTGCCCCAGCCCCTACCCCTACCCCAAAGGCACACAGCCTCAGTCCAGGCTAAAAATAACCTGTAGGTCCAGTGTAAACTGATTATGATCATCACAGCTGTGACGTCACGCTGCTGGCCAGAGCCCACCCCAGGGATCGAACCGTGTGTACAGGCTGTGTGCTCCCCTCTGTGTACACACTCTGGGGCCTGCACGGGCACGGGACTTCTGTGGATCCCAGCAGATCTGATCTCAGGCAGGAGCTGGGACTGGAGAATGCCAGCTAGGCAGGAATGCCACTCTCCGTGGCCCCAGGGAGGGGTCCTGTCCCACTCACAGCGGAGGACAGGGAAGCCAGCTCTGTACCCCATCACCCAGCCCAGTGGGCACAGGCAAGGTCAGTCCACCTGCCCTGGCTCTGTTCCTGGTGTCGCTCTGAGTCCCGAACATTTGGGTCTAAGAGGACCCTGTGTCCCTCAAACCTCAGGGGCCTGTCCTGCCTGTGTCCTGCCTTTGGCCCCAGGCCCAGGGGTTTATGCTGAGTCCTGAGGGCTCAGAGGCGTCTGGGGTGGTCCCATGTCAGGTGTGATACTTTCATTCTGCAGATGGGGAAACGGGCTAGAGAGAGGCACAGCGGTCACCTGTGAGGTCCTATTAGGGTCCCAGTGCCATGGAGGCCAAGCTCCTTGAGGCCCCTGCTTGATCGTGGTGATGCCGGTGACATTCCCAGCACAAGTCAGGTTGTGTC